GGGGGAGGAGAGGAGGAGGGGAGGGGAAGAAACACAGAGCTGAAAAAGAATAGGACATGATGCTTGTGGAGTATAAGAACAATTATAGGTCCTGCAGGACTAGCCAACCTTTATCTGAAAGTAGTACCGTAGTACTAGTATGGTGGAATAAGAGGATATTGCATGACACAGTGCATGCTATGAGCAATGATCACATTTACAGGCTTTGTGAAGAGGAGAGAGAGAGAGAGACAGACAGACAGAGACAGAGACAGAGACAGAGACAGACAGACAGACAGGCAGGCAGGCAGGCAGGAAGGAAGGAAGGAAGGAAGGTCCTGGACTGGACTGAATAATAACCCTAGTTGCTGTACCCACCTGAGATAGGAACACCTTCTTCTCTCTCTCCTGCCTTTCGCTCTCCAATCGCCGTGCAATTTCACGCAGCTCAAAGTATCGGCCAAGGCCACAGACGACAACAGGGCCATGGTTCTTAGGTACGTTCTCCTTGATTGCTGGTGTGAACGTGCACTCGCGAACCTCCTCTTGCGCCCTCCATGCTCGGAACTCCTCAAATCGTGCTTCCCTTTCCTGCCAAAGGTTTTCATTTTTTTTTTTTATCAAAAGGCTTTCATTTGATTTTCATCAAACTTTCAAAATTTTCAAATTTTCCTCTTCACTGAGGTGAGAGAAGCCTCTCCCCCACAAATTGAATGGGACTTCTGTTTTTTATAATATATATATGTATGTATATATAAAGTCCAGGTCGTCTTAGAGGCTGGATGGTAGGCCTCGGGAGGTGCCTGTCGTTGTACTGGACCAGTGGGGAGAAAAGATGGCTTGTGACAGCCCGGAAAGAAGGTCCGGGGTCTAAGGAGGTTTCAATGTCAACCGTCACGGTGACGAAAACACTCCTGGTCGAGGGAGCAGTACGAGCCGTAAGGGGGGCTGCAAAAACCTGGAAGTTGTTTCAGGCTACTGGATATGAGGGGGACATAGGGCTGGGGGGAATGGTCTACAACTTCCGAGAGCGGGCTAGGCCAGCGGAAAAAGGGGAGCCCCAAAAAAGGGGTGGCCCAGGGCAAATTATGGAGCTCTAAGGGGAAATAGGGTGCTCCATATTAGAAACGGAAACGGCTATAGCCCCAACACTGTGCCAATCTGATGTATCTCAGGGACGCTGGACCCGATTTCCAGCAGGTGCCGCTTGCCACCAATAGATGGAGCAGCCCAACAGCCAGGGCCTCAATCCTGGTAGTTCACTCGACACTACCGGGAATAGGACCTTGTGAACAGGCTTTCATCCGCAAACCCTTCTTTGGTTATCCTAATCAGATCGCAAGTCGAGCCCTACAGCTGTGGAACCCAGACCTGTCTCCAGATCTAGACCTACACCAACCCGCGCCTTCCAAGCGTCTCAGATGAGTGTCCCCCCTGGGCGCTGCCATAGGGACACCCCAAATTCTTGAGGACGACCCGGACACAGGAGGTGTCATGGATATGTGGTCATCACCCACCTGTATCATATCTAGCAGACTCTCAGGCTATGGGTGTCTATCACCCTTCTGCTAAATTAAATGCGACGACCCACCCTCCCCTGCCTAAGATGAGACCCCTATGCAGAGACCCTTCCCCAGATTCACGCCCCAATTGACCCCCTCGATGGGAACGCAGACAGGTACCAACCTGGATGAAGCCCAGCCCGCAAGCATTGTAAGATAGACATGAGGCCCGCCCTTGAGAATCGTATATGCCAAACACCCAACCCTTACTACTACTCAAGGGGGGTGTAGAGAGAGCGAACCCAGACCGGAACCAGCGGAACCAGGATCGTACAGTGGACTCTCGCAGGTGTACCACGAGGCCGGAACACTAGTACTACGGTAACCAGACACACCCATGACACGCCCACAGAGCAGTGCATAGGCGACGCAAACCGACAGGCCCACAATCTCTACACAAATTCCTGCCTAACCTAATCTAGACCTAAGACCTCGACCCAACCCACCTCCACTACCCCGCCCATGGTGAGTACACGAGACATGACCAAGAGATCATTGGACCACACACTACACATAACCCACACGGACCACAATGCGCATTTCCAACCGGTGATCTAACCCCTGAGCCAACGGCCATCCACAGAAGGGTATTATGATACTATTATCACTTTTTTTAACTTCACATTTTCACTAATTAGTAATTTTTTGTTGTCATTTTTTTTGTTTTTTTTCCTTACATGTATTCCCTTTTTCTCACAATCGTTTGACGCCGGTGGCTTTTAGATGCAATAACTTGAAATTACGTCTATATGCTCAGAAGTTCAAAACCTTAAATTTTTACACAGGATTTTAGATAAGCCGTGGTTGAACATCTGAAGAATGGAATCAGCAATGAAGATTCACAAAGCAGGTGATGATGGTGATCCTATTTCAGAACAGTAAATGAGTTTTAGGAAAACACTGCTTCAGTGAAGATTCATCCATGTCAGGACAAAAGTCAAGAGTTTATCAGCTGATCGAATATCGGAAATTAAAAAAATCCAAACATCATTTCACTGCAGTGATGATCTTAGCATATAGAGTCTTATAGACATACTGAAGATTTTCTTCTTTTTTTTTTTAAGCGGAGAGAAAAGTATGCCAGTTGAGCAGCTGAATTGACAGCCGTTATTGAATTTCAATTAATGTTTTGCAAAACAATTTTCTTCCAGCGAAGGTGGTCTACACATTGCTGCAGTGATTGAATGTACTGAAATCCAACATGTCAAGCTGCGGCATGACTTGAAGTACTAGCAGCATTTATTTTTATTTTTTTTTCCAGAAGCTCTGTCATCTTTCTTCTATAATTGCACAGGCATTCCCAAAAAAAAAAAAAAAAAAAAAAAATTGCACAGGCAGGGATAGTTGGCTGTGTTGTACTATGTCCAAATAGTTCATTCAGAAGTGTGTGGGAACATGAACTTGGCAGCATATTAAGCACCAGTACATGCCAGCTATCGGCCGCGGGCCCCTTTCGGAGGCCGCCCACCGCCTATTCGTTTTATCTACGGCGCTCGCCCCCCTAAGTTTTCGGGGAGGCTGCCTGGGGCCGTGTACTGGTGGTTTAAGCAAAGCATAGGCAAATGAAACGAAGGGATAGTACGAAGCAACAGATCAAGCACACCACCATAAACAAAGCACAAATTAGACCTATAGACAAAGAAGAAGAGAAAGAAGCATACTGGTGGGTCGGAGCCCCCCCCCCACCCGGGAGCACCCAAAAAGAAAACGACAAAGTGGCAGAGTCATGTACTTAGAGATCTAGCCATATTCACACAAACGGAGAGTCGAGCGCGCACTTCAGAGCCAGACAATGCATGTATGCAGACATGTATTGATCAAGCATGCTGCTGCTGCCCCTGCTGCATTTTGAAATAGACATACCAGGCCTAGTAGAAGCGTCGCGGTAAAAGCGTCCTTTGGGAAATCGGGACATCCGCTCAACTTTTTTACATTTTTTTTTTTTAAAACACCCCCGCCAGTGTTAGTGCTGCTGACATCCGCTCATATTGGAATGATAGAGAGAAGATTTGCATGGCCCCTGCATAAGGATGACATCATGACACACATAAATATTAAATAGAGAAATGGTCCAAATTACTGGGCTACCAGACCCACACGGGAACGGCCGCCCGGCCGGGCAGCCGGGCCAGGGCAGCCGGGCCAGTGCGACTTGGACCCTCTTGCCCGGTTCACCTGGGCAAGTAAAAAAAATAGTCAAAACTTTTTTTCCTTTTTTTTCCCCCCTGATCATGGGGCATTTTTGCGCCCTCCGAGAGGGACCCAAATCCATTCTTTTTGTTTTTTTTTTCGGTTCATGTCGTTTTGGAGGGTTTTGAGGGGGGGGGGGGGGGGGGGGGGGTAAGGGCCTTAAAGGTGCTTGAAAGGGGTTGAAAGGCCTTTAAAAGGCGTGAAATGATTTTCCTTACATTATTTTATTTTTATTTCAAATTCTGTGAAGACTTTGGAAGTGACCTTCAGCCAGAAGTTGTTTGGTTTGCTATTCTGCAGAACATACTTTCAAAAAAAAAATGATTTTTTTTTTGGATTTTTTTTTTGGTGGGATATGGGCCGGAACCCCGCCCGGCCCAGTTGCCCGGCCGGGCGTTCTGGGCAGGTACCGTGCCAGCTTTGTGGACCCGGGCGGCACGGCTGGTACCCCAGCCAAATTATTTATTAAAAAAAAGGTCAACTTGAAGTTCACGGTAAAACAGACTCAGACATAGAAAGTTTGAGACTGATATATACCAATATATTGACATAACTGGAGATAGACTCTAGAGCCATGAGGCCGTCTTTTATGTGTAGCCATCCATTTTGCAACAGCCTTCAGTCTATCCAAACTGCGACCGTCATTTTTTTTTGTCTAGTTACCTTCTAATATGGAACTTGCCAATTTGAAATTGACTCCGTAACCTTTTGGGCGGAGGACTGCCTTAAATTTCTTCACCCATACATGTACTCCTCCCTTCTTCCCCCGAACATAACGCACCCTGAAAATGAACGTATACAAGGTATGTTTCCGGCCCAATACAGGCAAAATAGGGGTGCGTTGTGTTCGGGGGAAGTCGTTAGTGGTACCTTCTCCAGCCAAATACAACACACAGTCATCATTTTGTTGTACTTAGATGGAAAGATACCCCAAATACAGCTTCTATAATCACCGGACGTAGTATTTGCCAATGTGTGAAGAATGTTACAGTAGCGCTCAGTTACCAGAGGTTCTCACAGTTGTCTTCCAAGCTGAGGGTGGTCGCCGTGGTGAAAGAGGAGACTCTGAGGTCCAACAAACATTTTCACTGTCTTTGCTACGTACCTTCCGCATCTGATCGATGCGGCGGATAAGGGTATTGGGATCCGAGAAGTCGATGCTATATCGGTTGTATGCGCTCTTTGGCATTGAGCTTATCTGCAGAAAAGCACAGTTATGTAGCAGAGGGTTCACAGGAGCAAGAAGATAAAAAAAAACGAATAGTTCAGCAAAGCGGACGAAGACTGAAGTAGCAAGACAGGAGGGCAAAACTGCATCTATGCTTAAAAAAGAAAATCATCGTAATGGGTAAAACAGATCCGAATCATTCGACAGGATAAAGATTAGTCAGTTTAGCATATGTGTGTCTGTCTGTCTCTCTCTCTCTCTCTCTCTCTCTCTCTCTCTCTCTCTCTCTCTCTCTCTCTCTCTCTCTCTCTCTCTCTCTCTC